TATATATATATATATATATATATATATATATCTGTATAATATTTTTGCTGTCCTAAACCCACTCTTAAATATTTTTCATCATGTTCACAATCTCATTATGGCATCATTCTTGAATACTTTATTCAAGGTAGATGTTACTATAGTAATAGTTCTAACTGCAATTATAACACGGGGAAGTATTATAGCAATATGAAATACATTTTGAGTTTTGGGTTCCTTAATAAAAACATAAAACTTATATCTTTTCTCCTCCTCTAATGAAGGCATTATTAAAAAAATATATATATAAGTAAGGATTCACATATTTATCATTTATAGTGCAACCAAAAGCTTGTATGCGTTCTAGACGTTTCTTGCGAAGTACACTGGAACCTCGAGAACGATGGCGAGAGTGCTTCGGGTGGAGTAACCTACTGAAGTTGTCCACATGTTCTATTATCGATCCCATTTGCAATGCCTCTAGCGATAACTACACGGAAAGGAATCAGATGTTAGAATTCAATCCCGCCATGCGCCATGCTCTTTTACGTCGTTTGTGCTCACCTGAACATCCCTTACCGGCGAAATGCATCTATAAACAGTTAGTAAATCCATGCCATTTAGTGAAGGAATTCGATTTCTCTAAAAGTAGTAAACGACTAGGACGCCAACATGCGGTGCTTCGATTCCTCCGTAAACATAATGTCCTGATGCATAGTCTTCTTTTCTATATTCCAGAAACCACCACGTGGAATAGGACCGGGGAATTTGACCGCCTGGCTCTTTACGGAAAGCGCATTCTCTCTTCTGAGGTACGGGGGAGGCTCCTGCATTTGTTTCCCGATATGCCACCGCTGGCTTTTGCGAAGTGCGCCAAAACTATTATCTCCGACGACTCCTTAGCTGATTTATTTGACATTTTACACATGGAGCTTATCGTTGGACTGCGGCCACCTACAAAAGTTGATTCCAAGCCCCCTTCGCCAGAACAAGGTTCGAGAGTAAAGCGTCTTAAGATACGTCTCAATAAGTCCAAAAAAGTCCATATGTTGTGTGCCATCGTAGGTGAGATGCAGTGGTTCGTTGCGCGGACAAAAGCCACGGATCGTACGCACAACAATGCCCTTTTCCCCCCATCCGATGTCCTTATTTTGCACGTTCTGTGTGTTCATCTCCTCGAGTGTATCCCGGCGGAGGTGATCTTCCGCGATTTAGAGTCCCACCTCAGGGCGATTCGGCCGGTTTGGGTGAATGCGCCCATGTCATTGCCAACTCAATACCGTTTAATTCCCCGTACGTTGGGCTCTTTAGCCCTGTCCTCCGAACCCCACCTTCCCACGACGGAAGAACTGGACCGGCGAGCCAAGGCCTCCGCCGCGATCGAATCCATTGCGAGTGCAAACGAGGGGAATGGCAAAGGCGCCGTGGTGGGGGTGCGACCTTTAACCACACAGCCCGACGCAAACTACGTGAAATCGTTTATGAGACCGAAGTGCCTCTACACGCGATTTGAAACGCATTGGTATAAAATTCTCCAGACAGATCGGAAGGGGGAGGCGCCCTGCCTGAACTCGGAGAAAACCACCCGAGTGGCTGATGCGGGAGTCACTTTTTCACAAAAAAATTCCTAAATGTCCAGATCAACTACAAGGGCTTGACGAAACGGATTAGAAAGGACTATCGTTTTTTTCTTTTATTAATTTCAACCCCCTGAGCGATTGCCAAGCAACTGGGTAAAGTTAAGCGGTGATTTGCTTAGAGGGGCCCAATGATAAAGCTTTGTGGGGCTTCAACATGTGCTTTTGTATTTTCACTATTGGTTAATATCATATCTCGTCCTTATTTTTCCTTTACCTAGACTTAATCACCTTTATATAACTCCTTTAACATTATCAAGGAGTGTCTAAAAAAAATTTGCAAGGATAGATAAATCACGCCTGTTGGTAATAATACCCACAAGGAGGTACTTGCTAAGTTTACCAATTAACGAAGAATAGAATCATATTCATATTTTTTATATATCTATATAGATAGATACAATGTTATCCACAACAATAAAGAATTGCTTCAGTGAAGTGACACCCTCCGCGAGCAGCTCAGTATCCATAGAAGAGACTACTCCTGGAAACGACGCGTCCTTTTACCTTAGCCAAAACTTTAATGATTCTTTGGAAGATGAATTGCAGAGCAAGGCTTGGGTCCAAGTATTGGGTCTGGAGAGTGGAACCACTAATGCAAGGCTGAAGAAGATGTTCTATCCATATGGTGCCGACGAGGCTTTTATTTGCACGGAGAACTGTCATGTGGTGGGCTTTGTGGGGTTCGAGCTGTCTGACATGGCCGAGATTGCCATTGACAAGATGAACGGATTCATCCCTTGCCTTCAGTCCCACTTACTCTCCGTATCGTTGGCGTCTCTGGAGCGGGTGATCGCGGCGTGGTTAAAATCACGCGAGACTCACGCCATCTCCTCAAGGCTTTTTGCAAAGCTTTCGTTTGCCATCGACCCTACAGATTCACTGGTGGCTTCGATCGAGGTCAAATCCAACAATCAGGGCGTTTATGCTGTCGTTGATGAGATCATGGGAGATCTGAAGCAAGCCTCTCCGTCGACGCGTGAAAAGATACTGGCCTGTCTTCTGGAGTTACCCATGGGTTGGGTCAAGTTCGTGGAGTTTCGCAGTATTCTTCTTCGGAAACTCCTTCACTGCATTTTGGCGAGCCACGATCTCGTCGCTATGCAAGCTTCCAACAGCGGGGCCGTTCTGGGTGGTCTCTTCAAAGCTAAGAAATTCCCAGGGGATCCATTTCTTCTCGCAGTCCGACTTTTGAAAAGCGGAATAACCAACTCTGCGCAGGCGGATGGGATCTGCGCCATTGCGCACGTATGCCATGGATTTCCCCCTTCCCAATCAGAGGCCTCTTTTTGGTCGTATTTAGGGCGGATGGTGGCCGATGTTGGACCGAACGCCCCTGTCGGACGAGCTCTTCTTGGACATCTTCGCCATCTAAAACGTAATCCAAAGGTTGCGATCACCCTCCCTCACCCACTCACACCACTCTTTGGAACTATAGACAGCGCAAAATCTTCTCCCTTGACGAATAAGCTAAACAAAACCGAAGGGCAATCCATCCCTTTAGACATTAAAGAGCAAACAAACAAAACACTGTACATTTCATGTCTGCCTCCTACGATGCCTCAAAATGTTCTAATGAACCTGCTTATGCGGGCAGGTCCAGTAAATAAGGTCAGAGTCTGCTCAGGACGAGATTCTGGGGCACTATTCGCATTTGTCGAGATTTCCACAGTTGAGGGGGAGCTTCAAGCATTACAATACCTAAAAAATGTCAGCATAATGGGAAGCTGGATACATGTTCAACCGGCGCGTAACTCCATCCAAGACAAGCAGGATGATGATGCAATTTATAAAGATAACGTTTTGATTCGGCCATGTATGTTTGGAATCAGTTCCATGCCCATTGTTACTTGTGTACGCTCCAATTCCGCCAAGCATTAACGCTCAATTAAAGGGTTATAGATAGAGAGAACACCATGTTTATACACAGTAAAGGAGGTAAAATTCACCGTTTACTCTTTTCTGAAAGACGATTAGTTCCTTTTAAAAAAAATGAACATATACTGTTTTACTATTTCACCATAGATATTTTCACATTTGTCCCTATTTATTCTCAGTACATTTTTTTCCCCCCGTTTCGCTGTTTTGGATGATTTTACCATAATTTTCTAAAATCCTAAAGCTTTATTTTATTCCAATTTTCTCGATATTGTAGTGTTGGCTTTCTTAAATGGTCAAGAAATCTGGGCCAATTGATATTTTGAATTTATTCCTCCTAAATTCTCTCTATCCCTATTGTACTTTTTTACGACTTCAATCAACTATTGTACATCCATTCATAGAAGTGTTTCGAATCTTTTTTTTATTTATATTAATATTCGTCCTTATTTTATCTTTTAGTGTTATTATTATCCTAAACCTGTTTATAGTTTGAGGAAAAGTATTTTACACCTAATTATAAAATCCACGATCGATGATTTTATTTATACGAATCTTGGATGCAAATTTATACTACCACTTTCAGCTTTATGTTCGCACCCTTTTTTTTTTTTTTTTCCATATTTTTTTAGGATTACGAGATTATTAACTAAGATCAAAAATGCTAGCGACCGGGGCGTCTTCGTCCATTAACTCCCCTTCAAACTCCTCCCAACCTGCTCTAATTGATGTATCAGGGCTTATGCTAAAGGTCAACAATGTCCGTTACATTATTCTTAGTCATGCCTGCCCCGCTGCCCTGTGCGGAACTGACAAGCAATGCTGTAGTTCAGAAATGCTGCATTGGGACCAATATCGCACGCAACGGAAGATTAAAGATGTGACAGGCTCCATAATGAAGCTGTACCAACCCATAGAAATGCCTTTTGAAGAGTTTTGCATCAACGAACCACCTGTTGTTGAGATGGAAGGGTTAAAGTTCAAGTCTAATTCCTTGGCTGTACGTCCTGAACCGGAAAGCACCTTTGTCCCGAACTTCTGTCCTGAGATGCAGCATTGGGATGACTTCCGTGAAGATAAAGGGATTTCTTTAGTGAAAAATGGTGAATCTATGGCGACGCTGTTTAAACCCTTTTCTGGTAGAAAATTACTATATTGGGATCGTAAGGATAAATTCATACGGTATATTGCAATGAGCGTTGCAATCTCCCATTTTAATGAAGATCATCACTTTTATTGTTCTGAGATGGAGCACTATGATGATTATAACAATATGAAGCAAATATCGAGTGAGTCGTCAATGAAAAAGACTTTTGGAATACATTCTTAAAATCGAGAAATTTATCTATATAAATTAATTTCTTTTGATTTCTTTGAATTTTCAGCACTTGGTACGCTGTTTTTTCTTATTCCTCTTTCCTTCCGCATATATGCGGTTTGTTTTATAGCTGATGTTTATGGTCTTGAGTTATTGGTAATACAATGACTAAACAATAATGAATTTGTTATTATGATGAAGCTTCCCCACTCCAAATTCTTTCTTTTCAAAATCTTATTTATTTTCTTTTTCATATATGTTCTTTCTATTTAAAGAGTTTTTTTTTAACCTAAGTTATTTTATTCAATTTAATAAACATTATCTAATAGATAATCTAATCATTTCTAGGCTTTTTAGGGGTTGTTTAAAGGTTTCACCTTTATGAGCACCTTTACAAGCGGATTTGGAGCATCTTCAGGCACGGGGCTTAATACCCCAAAACCTGCAATAGGTTTTGGGCAACCAACAGCCACTGGGGGGTTTGGCCAACCGCAGCAACAGACGACAGGAGGATTCGGACAGCCACAGCAACAGACGACTGGAGGTTTTGGACAGCCGCAGCAACAGGGTGTTGTAGGCTTTGGCCAACCGCAGCAGCCAGCTACCGGAGGCTTTGGGCAACCACAACAACCAGCTGCTGGGGGCTTTGGTCAACCCCAGCAACAAACGGCTGGAGGATTTGGACAGCCACAGCAGCCGGCTGTTGTAGGCTTTGGCCAACCGCAGCAGCCAGCTACCGGAGGCTTTGGTCAACCCCAGCAACAAACGACTGGAGGATTTGGACAGCCACAGCAGCCGGCTGTTGGGGGCTTTGGCCAACCAGCGGCTACTGGTGGGTTCGGGCAAGTCACCCCCGGTACGCAACTAGGAGCCGCAGGGGGGTTTGGTGCGGCAAAGTCTGGAGGCTTTGGTCAAACTGGCACCGGATTCGGACAGCCACAACAGCCGGCTACCGGAGGTTTTGGCCAGCCACAGCATCCAGCTTCCGGCGGCTTTGGCCAACCACAACAACCGGCTGTTGGAGGATTTGGCCAACCCCAGCAACAGGCTACCGGAGGATTTGGCCAACCCCAGCAACAGGCTACCGGAGGATTTGGCCAACCCCAGCAACCGGCTGTTGGAGGATTTGGGCAGCCACAGCAACCGGCTACCGGAGGATTTGGCCAACCCCAGCAACCGGCTGTTGGAGGTTTTGGGCAGCCACAGCAACCGGCTACCGGAGGCTTTGGCCAACCAGCGGCTACCGGAGGTTTCGGGCAAGTTACCGCAGGTACACAACTAGGAGCCGCAGGGGGTTTTGGTGCGGCAAAGCCTGGAGGCTTTGGCCAGCCACAGCAGCCGACTACGAGAGTCTTCGGACAAGCCACCACCGGTACACAACCAGCCGCAGGGGGGTTTGGCGCAGCAAAGCCACTTGGTGGATTTGGGCAACCTGGACCAAACCCCGGGTTTGGTACTACCGGAGGCTTTGGCCAGCCACAGCAACAGGCTACCGGAGGTTTCGGGCAAGTCACCGCCGGTACGCAACCAGCCGCAGGGGGGTTCGGTGCGGCAAAGCCCGGAGGCTTTGGACAAACTGGCACCGGATTTGGACAGTCACAACAGCCGGCTACTGGAGGCTTTGGCCAACCACAGCAACCGGCCGTTGGAGGCTTTGGTCAACCGCAACAACAGGCTACCGGAGGTTTTGGCCAGCCACAGCAACAGGCTACTGGAGGCTTTGGCCAACCAGCGGCTACCGGAGGTTTCGGGCAAGTTACCGCCGCTACACAACCAGCCGCAGGGGGGTTCGGCGCAGCAAAGCCACTTGGTGGATTTGGGCAACCTGGACCAAACCCCGGGTTTGGTACTACCGGAGGTTTTGGCCAGCCACAGCAACAGGCTACCGGAGGTTTCGGACAGCCCTTGGCCGCCGGAGGCTTTGGTCAACCCCAACAGCAGGCTACCGGAGGCTTTGGTACGCTTCAAAACACTAATTATCAAGCAGTATCAGATTTTGGCAAGATTTCCCAAAACTTTTCTACTGGAGCTACCCTAAATCAAGCACTTTCTTTTATGAATTTACCCGATTTCAATATGAAGCCATATGGGGAAGCGCTTTTAGCATCATATGACCGTATCGAATTAGAAAAACCAACATCCAAAGAAACAACAGAGTTTACGCCTATCGTCCCACAACCCATTCGATATCATTGGTTAACCCGTTGCCAGCAGCCACTTGATTCTGATATCGGGATCGAGCAGCAACCCGTACCGCTTTCGATTAGTGCTATCTCATCTTCTGCGTTAAAGGCAATACTGAAGCCACCCATTCAACTCGGAACAGTCGGTAACGACAAAAAAGCTCTGCTTTTAGACGAACCACGTCCCAGGGTGGATGAGTTATCTTCTAACCAGGATGCCATGCGTGAGTCGAATTCGAGAAACGTCTTTTCCACCCCAAACCTCTCCGCCCCAACCTGCGACAACTTCGAGTATCGTACGGTCCCTTCGTTAGAGGAACTTTCAGTTTTGCCTCCGAACGAGCTTCGAAATCTTAGTTCATTGGAAGTTTCACGAAAGGATGATAAGGTTCGTATCGAGTTCTGTGAGCCTGTCAATCTGGTGCGCACTAATATTAGTGATGTGGTTTCCATGGATAGGGACGGACGCGTACGATTCAATCCAAAGGGAGATACTTCTTCCCACAAAGGGCTCAACGTGAAGGCCATTGTAACTGTTAATCGTGTCATCAACATGACTGAGGACCAGCTGCGTGAAACATGCCGTGCGGAAGGAAGTCGATTTATCTCGTACCAGAATAATACATGGCGGTATGCCGTAAATGATTCCGATGAAGCGATCGGCACCTCTCTCTATGAGAGGCCTAGCCATCACCAGGCTAACCTTTCTATTCAAAAGGGTGACGATGACGACGATGACAATGACGAAGATGTGGGCGTCACTTCACCAAATCTTCAAACTAATAACAAAGTTGACAGTAGTTGCGGAATTGTTACCCAAGCGTTCTCTGGCGAGGTGGAACTGCCACTCAAATCCACCCAGCTCATTCCACCCGCCACCCTCAGCAGCGCCAAAATCACTGTGAACAAGACCATCCTCCCGTCGTTGCGGCCATCACGGGAGCTATCTTCATTGAATAAACAAGTGTTTAAGCTTCCATATGTACTACCTGTTATGGGTATTAAGAGCACAAAGCAATCAGTAGCAACCATACCTTATTTTCCTATGCAGGACTCCGAGCCCCCTGTGTATTATGTCAACTTTAAAAGTTCCGTTGTTCACGAAAATTTTGTTTCAGGTTCGACCTTGAGGAAACATTCGGGAAGTTCCATGGTCTTGGCTCGTAGCTTTCGAGCTAATTGGCACATTTCCGGTCTTTTGGCATATCCGTCCTTTGCGGCTATGCGAGATGGATTGGAAACGAAGCAAGATGTCGATGAGGTACATGGATCTAATGTTGTTGTAGGTTACCCTTTTAGATGGACGACGCCTTCAACCAAACCTCTGACGGCGTGTCTGATCTCCGTGCTTCGCTTGTTAACTCGCTACATGTGGGTGTTGTCAAATTCAAATCATTTTAGTGGGACCAAGGTAAAGGCTGCATCACAGAAGGATCACTACGGGTTGCTGCATATTTCTCTGTCTCGGGAAAAGTCCTCCATGATGTTATCCAAGGAGAAACTGGAGGAGATCCTCTCTATTGTTGCCGAGAAGTCGTCTCACAAAGCTTCTCTCTCACCTACTGAGTTTTGCTCCTTAAAGCAGTGCCAATCTGTGATCGGGCTGATGAGCGCGCTCTACGCCTTGCCCGAGTACGATGAAGCGCTTCCCAACGCACAGGATGAGGCTCGTTATCTGAGGCAGCTCAGGCGACGCGAACTAAGCAATTGGCTTTCTAACGAGCTGCATGATTTGGTCAACCGCAGTAGTGGTGTTTATCCTTCCCGGTCGGAGGAGTTGGTGCAGATCATTCTTTCTCATAAGCTCAAAGATGCAAGTCGACTTGCCGAGGATCTGAACGAAAGTACCCTCGCTCGTGTGATCGGTGTTTGTGGGGACGGTAATCAGTTCGAGCAGTACGTGGAAATGGCCAGGGAGGGCTTCCCTAACGGTTCTGTGGTTCGTGATCGAGTTGTGAGCTTACTCGCTGGCAAGGTTGAGACATTTATACAGGAGGATGAATACACGTTTGAAAAGCGTTCTTCACAAGGTAGCGATTCTATTGTGGCTCATCACAACGCCGCCACGTGGAGGCAGCTTCTGGGTATTTTTGCCTTTTATGGCTGCCGACCTGACACGTCCGCGGAGGATATCATTCGTGAATTTATGAACCGTCTTCGGACCTCCCCCCGCCGCGCCAAATCCTTACCATTCTACGCCGAGAAGCTTCACGGTGAGGCCTTGGAGAGCCGCCGGGGTCGGGATGCTGTGCGTCGTGGCCACGCCTTCCCCGACGCCGCGTTTCTTCTTCTGAAGGGCTTCCTGGAGGGTGGGGCGCCCCCGGCCTCCGGCCTGCACCCGCACGCCTCAAGTTATTCCTCCACGGACTACCTCAGCCCTTTTCTTCTGCTCTGCGCCGTGCGCGCGCTGCCGCTGCCGCGGGGCCGGCCCTACAAAGACGCCGAGACCGCTGTCCTCCTCGGCCTCGCGGGCCAGCTGGAGATGAGCGGGGAAGGATGGTTCTGGGCGCTGCTGCCGCTCCACATGATCGAGTCCGATCCCGCGCGCCACCGCGCGGTGCGGGATTTTTGCCGTCGAAACGCCCTCCAGGCGCGCGAACTCAGGGGGCGACCGAGCGAGAATGCCGCCGCCGCCGAATTCGACAAACTTCTGGGGTTGCTCAATGTGGATGAGGCCGAGTTAGAGCCCGTGGTGCCCCCCGTTGAGCAGCCTAAGGAGGTCTTAGTAAATAGACCAAGCCTCAAAACTCAAGAAATTCTTCAGAAAGCTATAGGATCCATGCAAAGTTCACTTATGGGGATAACTATCGGTGATATTTGACTTGGATCTATACCATGCCCTTACGCCATTTATTAATAGATGCTATTAAAACTCACATGGAAAGTTGAGTCTGTGAGTGAATGGGGAGGGACATGTAATGTGTTAAATCACCTATGGATGCGACGGTGAACGTTTGTTGAAATATATGATGTGTAAATTTTCTAAAGGTATCTTTTACCTTTTTTTAAAATACTTTGACTACATTTTTTTTTATTGACGCTGTAATAAACATAAGGTAAAACTATCGGGATATAGATATAAGGGTCCTAAATTGTTAGAATATATGTATAAGGGTTAGCGAAGGAGATTTACCCCATTAGCGACAGCATCTCAAATATATACTGTTATTGGTGTGCTGATAATAAACTTCACAACTTCATTTTTATACTTTTTTGTTTAAGATACAGACTCAAAAAAAAATCCAAACATCCTAGAAAAAAAAACAGCAGTATTTCCTCTTCATGAAGAATGGGAGTTCCCCAAAATGTACGATTTTCTATATATATTCGTGGGAGCGATAAAATTGGTGATCTAGGTTACTTTATGCGATGCCTCTATCGATACTGGTACAAAAAGGGGTTTTGGGGAGTAGCTATTTCATCCATTGTTGACTTTTTAAACACATTATTTGTGTTTATACTTACCTTTATATTTACCATGCATTTTCGATGGGGGACGGCTTTGCATTGCACTGAAAGTGAATGTGCTCAGGCGTTGTTGTTCAGTGGTTTTTCCAAACCATACATTCTAAAACGCAATTTCATTGGATACACATTTGGGTTTGTATTTTTAACCTCCTCACTGGTCGCGACGGTGTACGAAGGGTGCTTAATGTTCTTTACGATCCGTATTCATCGTGAAGTGGATGAGGTATCGCGTTTGGCAGGCGTGGATACTGGCTTTCTCACTCCCATCCATCGTTGGGCATTTCAACAACGTCAAGGGGTGGGGGTTTTAGAAGGGCACGAGGCACTAGGCGTGCAGGGTGAACGAAATTCGGTATTAACTACTATGTCGTGGGATGCTTTCTTAGAGATGATCTGCACTTACTTAAACAAGGCGAAAAGGCTCAAGTTCTACAATGAGCCACTAGACGTGTTGCGAGCCACCCAGGCTCAATTGCAGCGTGAAAACTTCCTTGTTGCGGTCTACGATAGTGGGATATTAGATCGTGGTACCCTGAGCTTTTTAGGCCCTGATGCGCTCTCTTTCGTCGTTTCCACAATGTTCGACCACTTCAACACCGTATATATGCGTTATGAGAGTATCTGGATGATTCGTGGTTATCTACTGATCTATATCATTGTGCATCTGTGTTTATTTTTATTTACTACAACCTATATAATCCTGAAGGTTTTACTGAAAAACGCAGGTCAGTTCAAGTCGAACTACAGGGAGTTTTCACAGAATGAGTGGAATCACTCGGCTTTCTGGCGGTTTCGCCTTTTCAACGAGGTTGACCACCTGCATCAGAGTCGCCTTGTTAATGCACGTGATATAGCAGCACGAATGTTCTCACACCTTTCCGTTTCCGACAGCATGAACCGCTTGATGCGGCGGATCAGCAGTACGTTTATTTTTATTTATATAGTTCTTTCCTTTCTGAACTCTTCTTTGCTTATCAATGGACATTTTGCGGGTCTTTCTTTTGTGTGGTGGCTGACAATCTCGCTTTTAGTTTACACCTCGTTATCTGTGATTGATCCACGCGAGCGGGAGTACGCTTATATGGAGGATCTGAAGAGACTCGTGAGCATTACCCACTTCTCCGCACCGGAGTGGTACGTCTCCGGGGACTCTTTTTATTACCACCTCTCGAAGCACTTTTTTAATAGCCTTTTTCATATCATCCTGAAGGACCTCTTCTGCGATACGATGCAGCCCTTTTTGCTCCTGCGGGCTCTTTTTGATGGGAGCGTGGATAATTTGTTAGAGTTCATCCGTCGCTCATCGGTTTTTGTGGAGGGGGTTGGTTCGGTCGTTCTGGGGAGCACCTTTGAAAGGATGGGAAGCCAGGCAGCGCTTTTGGGCGAGGTGAGCGATCTCGATGATTCATCAAGCTTAGTCGTTTTACCATCGAGCGTAAAAATAATGGGGAAATTCCTCATGTTTAAAGGGACTGGTTTAAGAAGAAACGTGAAGTTCTACCAGTCCATTGCCAGCTTCGCCGCGGTGCATCCTCGGTGGATGGCAAAGCAGATAGAGGACGCTGGAGACGCACCCGATCCTCTTCAGGCTTTTTTAAAAGAGCTTCGTGGGTCTGTGGAGAGGAATTTAAACGATTTTTCACATAATCAACATTCCGATTTGCAGAAATCATGGAATCCTTATTTTAGTGTACAAAGTAACCATGAAAATAAATTCTTGGAGGACAGCAGCCCGGATTCTACTCAAGGATTAGATCCGATAATGACATCACATGAACGGGAACGTTTGTTTGTTGCTCAGCTAAACTTTGGCAAGACGTTCGCTTATGCTTCTGCATGCGGAACTTATAGTAGGGATATACACAGTGCGTACGATAAACAATAGAAATCATACCCTTTTCATACTTTTTCTGAATTTATCTTCAAAACCTATATCTGAATCTATTAGCTTTTTTTTTTGCTTGCTTTATTCAAACTAAATTATTTTCCTTAGGAAGCTTGATTTAAGTGATTTTTCATTTAAACACCTTCAGACTTTCCAACTTTCAATTATTTTTAATATCAATAATAATAGTATTAATAACGATGTAAATATCTGTGCAACGTGCATCTACTCAATTCGTCATATTCATTTCTTCTTTATTGTGTTTTGCCTTTTCAAAAGAAAAAGGGGTTCTCAAGGCATAAAAACTAAAATGAATTCTTTAGAGCAGCAACTAGCCCACTTTTGGAGTCATATAGAGGCTCAGCGCGATCAGAAACTCAAAGAAAGCGGGGATGACCTTGAAAAAGAAGTTGAAAGGGAGCTTGATGCACTTTTGACGACCCTGAGCGGGTCGATGTCTGAGGATAAGCTAAAGTTAGATTCAGAAATCGAGCGAATTATGCGAATGACGTATCAATTTCGCGAAGGGGTCGAGACGTGGCACCGTAAAGCCGAAGATGGGATTTCCTTAATCAAGGAAAAGCAGCGCTCATTGGCGGTACTTGTGCAAGAGACCTCCGCTCGAACGAGCGCACGCCGTGAGGAAATGCTTCAGCTTCAAAAACATCGTACCGATGAGGTGCGTGAGTCCTGGCAAAAAATTCTTGCCAACGCTGAAAGTTCCGTCGTAGAATAAAGGGGGAATAACAGCAAAGTGTTCACACCCCTCTTTTCTTTACACTTATTACGCATCTGGTCAGGAATTTATTTCAATGACCCCTATTAACTTTTCATGGCTTACGCGACTTCCACCGAAGGAATTAAATTACATAGAACTGATTTTTAGATTGCATTCATGTTGAATTCACTTAGTTAGAAATGTTCATTTCAACTAAGTTGATTTACTTTTATTTTAATAAGATTTTGTCACAAAAAAAACGAAAAGATCCTATAGTTTAATTTATTATCATCGTTCATTTCTTTTTTTTTTTACTGCCTATTCATTTGAATTTAACATTGTAATAATATTACAACGGTCAACATATTTAGAGGTATATATATGCGTATATATATACATATCTATCCTCATATATAAACGCTTTAGCTTTTAGGATCATTTGTTTCCTTTAAAACATTTCAATAGATTCAGACACGAGGGAATTAAACCCAAGCATATCAAAAAATTAACAACAGCAACAAAAAAATAGGTTATATCTATTTATATTATGCGGTTTGGTTCATTTCAGCGTGCCATTTGGCTTTCGCGACGGCTTTCGTCGACGACGGCGTTACGACGCCCTGCCGCTTTCCCCGAATACGGGTTTGCCCAACGTTCCTTCACGAGCGCATCGCCATTTTTTCATACAATTGGCCCGAACTTTCTGCCGCATCGCAGTCTGACGGGCGCTCCGGGGTTGATTGGGTCTGCGTCGATGTCTTTTGCCGCGTCCTCGACCTTGACAAGTCGCCGCTTTCAATTCAGCTCCGAAAGCCCCGAGGATTACTATGCGGTTCTCGGCGTCAAGCCCAACGCCACGCAGGAGGAGATTAAAACCGCCTATAAACGACTGGTTCTTCAGTACCACCCCGATCGCAATCATGAACCGGGCGCCGAGGAGCGGTTTAAGACAATTTCCGCCGCCTACAACATTCTTGGGCGAAAGGATAAACGCGAGATGTACGACGCCCAACATTCTTCCTACCCCGGGGTGGGTGGTGGTGGCGGTGGCGACTACAAACGCACCTCGGCGAGGAGTCATGGCTTCCGGGGCGGCTTTGCCGCGCATTCGATGTCGAAAACCGAGGCGGATTCCCTCTTCCGTGAGATTTTCGGGAATATGAACTTCGACCAGATTTTCAAGAGCCTCGAGGAGGAGCTCCACTGTGGCGGCATGCAGCCGGGAAGTGGCATGGGCTGCAACCGATGCCAGGATCCTTTCCGCACGGCTAAATCTTATACGGAATCGGTGAACATGTTCGTCGACAATAATGGGAACCACGTGGAGGAACACATTTACAGCGATGCAAGCGGAAATCGATACACTGTTCGCCATACCTCCGCTAAAGGAATGCATCCCGCCGCGAGCGAAAGCCACGAGCACTCTCACCTCAACCCCGACGGTTCGCGAAAGATAACGTTTGACGATTTATCCCTCGACGGGTATTCGCGCTACGGAAAGTTTAAGCATCGGATGGCGGGATTTTCCTTTAAAAAACGAGATCCGATGTTGGCTTTTCTTTCACTGGAAGCTTGGACTTTTACAATTATTGCGGTTTTTTCTATTATTGTTTACTTTCTTGTTACTCACCCAAAGATTTTGCTCATCGTCCTTTTTCTAACTATTCTTGGGAGATTTAATGCTAGAAGTATCTAAAAGCGATATTCTATTACTTTATTCTACCAGCAAAAAATGCTTTCTTTTTAGCCGATCCCAGTCTTATTGTCCACGCTTTTTCCCTTTAAGTTTTTGTTATCCAACTGCGATTTATTCCTTAAAAAAAAAAAATACGTTTTGTTACTTTAGTGTAGGGTAGCTGAGTCCATGATCATTAAAACAAGTGTTCTTTCCCATTTGATCGAAGGTAACACACACCATGTCATGATCTTGTAACCAATTTCCCAATATCTTTTATTACGATTATTATTATTTTGAAAAAAATTCCATACCCCTCCTTCCTTTTATTTCTTTTTTTCTTGCTGTGTTGTGATCCTACGCATGGGTTTAACATCCTCAATCCCCTTCTCTATACGCGTTATTCTCGCGATTAGCATTTGCCCACGCTTCTCCTTCTTTTTCTCTTGTGTGTGTGTGTGTGTGTGCGTATTCGTTGGTCTTGGCCGCATGAACCGGGTTGCGACGATTGAGAGTCAGGTGCGCGAGTTCTCCGCGGAGATTGTGGTGGTGGGGTCGTGCTTTATGGACTACTTCGCCTACGTGGATCGCCCCTTGCAGATGGGCGAGACCCTCCACTCGAGGTCCTTTCAACGGGGCTTTGGCGGAAAGGGCGCGAACCAGGCCGTGGCGGCAGGACGGCTCAGCGCGAAGGTCGCCATGGTGAGCATGGTCGGCAACGATGGCGACGGCGCCGGGTATATTAAGCAACTCCGGGACAGCGGCGTGGACACGCGCTTTGTCTTTCAGCACCCGACAAAGGCGAGCGGGCTGGCGATGATTGTGGTGGATACGAACACCTCCAATAACGAGATCGTCATCTGCCCAAATGCGACTTCCCAGCTCCTCCCTGACTTTTTGCGCGAGCGGACGGCGGGGTTCGCCGAGTTTCTCCCGAAATCGGTCCGCTACGTGATCTGCCAGAACGAGATCCCCCTGCCGACGACGCTGGCGGTGCTGAAGGCGGCGCATGACCGGGGGATTTATACCATCCTTAACGCCGCCCCGGCCCCGACGCCGGAGCAGGTGGGGGCGATTCGCCCTTACCTTCGCTACGTCTCGCTCTTCTGCCCGAACGAGGTGGAGGCCTTCCACATGACGGGTGTGCAGGTCTCGGACCCGACCTCCGCCGCGAAGGCGATCCTCGCCCTGCAGGCGCTGGGCGTTCGCGACGTCGTCCTGACCCTCGGGGCGGCCGGGTTCGTCCTCGCCGAGTTCGGCGGGAAGCCGATCCACTGCGCGGGGAAAAAGGTCAAGGCCGTGGATACGACGGGCGCGGGGGATTGCTTCGTGGGGTCCGCCGCGTACTTTTTGAGCCGGGGGCTTACTCTGCTGGAGGCTTGTAAGCGCGCGAACGAGTGCGCCGCGATCAGCGTCATGCGGAAAGGGACGCAGACGTCGTATCCGACGCCTTCGGAGCTCCCTGCTGGTGTGATCTAAATTCATCCCCTTATTCGATTTTTTTTTTTATAATTTTTTTCAAATAGTTTTACAAAATGAAAAAAAAACTAGTAACGATGATTTTGCCTCATGAGATTTAATTAGTATAAGTATAGGATATCATATATATATATATATGTATTTGTTTATATTAATATACAAAATATCAGGAGTTTTTCAAAAAGGGAGCAAAAAAACCCTTTAAACTAAACTGATAGATCAAGGTGATCCGTATATTTTTCTCAATGGTAGGTTTAAATCATGTCCACGTGACGACCAAATTTACAACCTGATTACGCGTTATTGCTCCAACACACTCATTATCACTGCACAAATGGATTGGATTCTTGCTCATTAGGACCCGTTATTTGTCTTTACAGTTTTAGAGTAATAGTAAGCCGTTAAAGTAACACAACAAAATTTCCCCCAAGGATCCCACAGCCATACCCCCTCCCACCTTCTTTAACGTAATTTTCCTCCACCCCATTTCGAACGCGCCCTCCGAGCGCCGACTGAGGCCATTACCACGCTTTCCCGCCTTCCGGGCTCGCTTCCTTTGCTGTCGCTGAATCCCCAGGCGACCTCCCCAGCGCCCCCGTTTGCGCCCGCGATGACCGACCTGCTCGACCGCGCGGCGGCGAAGTCCCGCGGCGGCTCGCCGACCCCGCGGCGGCAGCTCGCCAGCCTCTCGGTCAACCAGCGCTCCTAC